AGTAACTATATCTATTGGCTTTAGGATAAAACAAATTCCACAACAACCTAAATTTCCTGAAGTCAAATTTGAATTTAATTCTAGTTTTAACATTTATGTCACAGCCTATTAAAGCCTATTTGCACCATGATGCATTTACTTGACTCAAAAATAATTTTCTGAAACTAAAAAGGAACCAGCGTTGACTGAACTTCAGCTAAATTTAAATGTTTAAACAGATACCATAGGACTTACCACAGCCACCGATACATGCAATTGTAAAAAGTTACTCAAACTGATGGAGAAATAATATACTTATTGAAAATAAGATCAATTGCTTGGAAAACACTGAGATAAAAGCTGTAACAGGAACCCCAAAACACAAAGGTCCATCCCTCATTCCATTCTTTTTTTCTTATGGAAAAGCTTGAAACTGTCAGATTTGTTACATTCTAATATTATCTTTTGAAATTTATCACACTCTGTTTTCACACGCATGAGCAACGTTAGTTTGTATTACAATAAGAGAAAGAGCAAGCTATCAGCGCAAAAGGAAGTATTAAGATTTGGAGGTCTGTACAAATTAAGGCAGCATCCACCCAAACACGGGGGAGGGAACCCATGGGGAAGACATTTCCCTCCAGGGGGCACCCATACCTTGTTTTTGCCCTGCAGTTCAATTTGTGATGTCTTGAAATCAGGACCTTGAGAGCTTGCACTTAATCGACCTTTCCTCTTGAGGAGCTCTTCCATTTCTTTCACCTGGAACTTTAGCCTTCTATTTTCTCTCTCCAATCCTTGTTTTTCTGTTTCGAGTATTTCTCTCTTGTCCCATTCTGACGTGTTTTCAGCCTGCAGTTTCTCGAGCTAAACACAGAGAAGACATAGAGGCAGCGTGTAGCATTTATAATTGCTAACAGGCCAGGCACACAGCGGAGCCCTCCACTAAGCGAGGGTCATGGATATGTCCATTTTCACACTTATTAAAAAGGAAACGATTTGTCTGAAAAGCTGTGAGCAACACGAGTGTCCTACGCCAGGCCATGACCTCCATAAATACA